GCAGAACCAGGGATTGAACTCAGGCCCTTGGGCTTGCCAGAGAAGCGCTTATTCCACTGAGCCATCTCCCCAGCCCTCAAAGATCCCAATTTAATATCTTTTTTTTTTTTTTTTTTGGTAGAACCGGGGATTGAACTTAGTCCTTTGCACTTACAAGGCAAGCACTTATTCCACTGAGCTATGTCCCTGGCCCCCTGTATTAATTATTGTAATTGTCTTATTAACTTGTTTGAAACTGTCTCTTTGCTATTTGTTTCTCAATAAAATTAATAAAAAAAGAATTCTCTGTGAAAGTGTTTTCAAAACTATTTTATTAAAATATATATTTAAAGCTCTGAAACTCATCTTAGATTTTTTTCATCTTTATATAAGTGTGTCCCTATTATTTTAAGACTCAGTGCTACAATACTGAGCAACAAAGTAAAGCCAAAGGTCAGAGATTAGAAAGTTATGGGAATAATAGAAGGCAGAGATTGTTAGTATTTTTTCTTAAATTTAATAGATATAAAATACACTAAAAGTTATAATTAAAATATTATGATTACTCGGTGAAGCAATTTAATTGTACAAATAAATCTCTAGTAGGTTTGTTACTTATTGTATACTTGTATATATGTTACTGTACTGTACTTTATTTTCTGTTATCTGGTTATAGACTACATTGTTTTAGACTTTAAGCATATTTATTTATTTTGTAAATTTTTTATTCATTTTAATGAGAAAAAAATAGCAATGAAACAGTTTCAAAACAGGTTAGTAGGACATTTACTATAATTGATACATTGCATATTGCTGTCTTATTCAGAGGACAAGAAGCAGACATGATATCTTGTCTAAACAATATTAGTACAAACCTTCTCATTGAACTAAGAGAAAGTAGCTGTGTATCTGTCCTATCTTGTATATACAATACTCATTTTCTTTTGTAATGATCTTTATAAGTCATTTTCAATCATTTGGAAGTAGCAGAACTTGTGTGTAGGCTTTCATCTTATAAAATTAGGGTAATAAAAATGTAGTGAGAAAACTAGGTCTTTATTTTACCTCTTTGTTTTCTTTTTATTTGTGGATAAAAATACCAGAGTTATTTCATGGTAATGAATAGTTTTTAGGTCTAGGAGCTTGACTGCCAGGCTGTCTCAAATTGCAGCCCTGCACAATAAAATTAAATAAAACTATGTAGGATGTTTTATTTCTTCTTTATATAGAGCATGTTAAACCTTATAGTTAATAGTCTCCATTTGGAAATAAAATAGATTATAGTTACTAGTTTTTATAACTAGCCAGATAATAGTGTAGAAAATTTGATTCATACCTTTAAATAAAACAGTTCTCTTTCTCTTTAGAAGCATTTTTAAATTCCAAAAGTTGAAATTCAGAAAAAAAAAGTCTAAGTTTATTGGTCTCTAGACTGGGCTGTTTTGAACAAGTTGTAGAAAGGCAGAATTAGTGTCTTTCTGCAAGGACACTGCAATTCATATCTTTGACGGACTTGACCATTAGATGTCAAATGTATTTTCTCTGATGCTGACTGAAACTTTTGAAAATCATTTTATTATTTTAATCCTAAATTGTTTGAGTCATAGAAGTAAATATTAAATCATATTATATATTCAGTAGCATAACCAGCAGTTACTTTAAAATGCTTTTAAACAACTTAAATGATGTGCTGATATGTGCTCTGTTTCTGGTTTCAAAAATTACAGATTGTAAAGATGCTAACCAGAATTCTCTATAAGAATGGATACATTTTTTTGAATGTTAAGAAATTAAGTTTCTGAATCTTTCAAATTTAGGATCTACATTTGGACATTTACATTCATTTTCGCATCATTTCAAAATTTTTTGGGAAGATGTAACTAATGATTTTTCTGTGATGTCTACCTTTTTTTTTTTTTTCCCTTAGATTTTTGACTGACATTTTATTGGGTTGTTGTGTTCACGCTATTTGGTTCCTCCTGAAGCCTTCTGAATTTCATATGAACTGTTTCAGTCATCTCCTACATAGCGGATAACTTACCTAGGGACCAGGCCTTACAGGACAAACAGCCAATCATGAGCAGAAGCAGATTGGCCTTTCTG